AAATGCCCACAAAATTTCATCATAGAGATTACTAGTCCTACGCGTTAACCACTCGCCATGGCCACTTATTTTTAAAATTAATCCCTATTCTCCATCTAAGAGAGTAAATTAAAACCTGTGTCTAAGGGTGATTATCAAAATCATTCTAGTTAAAATATATAAATATATAAAGTTAAATGGGAAAAAGAAGACAACATGATTGTATTGAAATATACTTGAAGGTTATCTTGTATTAACTTGGCTGTTTCTTTTTATACAAGTAATTTAATTGATATCAAATACAATATTAATGTACAAGATTTTATTTCACTGTTTCCTGGTTTAAATTGTTTTGTTATGAAAAGAAATCATTAATAATTAATAAACATAACAAAGGCCTTCCTTATTTAGAAAACTTTAAAAAACAACACAAAAATAAAATTAAATCACAATTTATAAAACATACTTGTTATTAAGTAATTCCTTGACAATATTTGTGTGACCATTCCTTGCTGCAAACATCAAAGCTGTCCAACCATGATCATTTCTAATATTCACATTTAACGATCCTTGAAAATATAAAACTAATATATGTATATATATGTATGTACAGGAAAAATCAATTATGACCTTCATCACAGGTAACAATCCCAAACTATCTTTTTGGTTGGGTTTTACGTTGCACTGTCACAGTATAGGTCATATGGTGACGTTCCAGCTTTACTGATGGAGGAAGACCTCAAGTGCCCTTCCATGCATTATTTCAGGAACGAATGGGTACCTGAGAAGAACCACCGACGTTCTGTAAGCTAGCCAGATAGCTTCCTCACATGAAAGCATCCAAAGTCCCTGTCAGGATTCTAACCCACAGCGGTGAGGGGCAAATGGTTTGAAGTCAACAACCTTAACCACTCAGCCATGGACGCCCTTAACAAACACACATTTTAACTATCTGATAGAAGTTCAGAAGTTTTACATATCAGTTTAGTGTTATTAAAGAGTTGACTTTAATCAGAATGTTGTCAAGACAACTAGAACTAATTATCTCTTAATAAATTTTTTAAAAAATGATAAAAGGTTAAAGAAAAGGATAAAACATTGTTTCAAAAAGGTAGCTACTATAAGATAAAGAAACCTTTCAGAAAAATCTTCACATCATCAAGTACACCTGCTGCAGCTCCCTTGAAATATCTTTCCATAAATGACTTCTCCACAGCTGTCTCCGAACCAGCCATAATTCTCACAAAGTTGTTTATTCTGTTAGTAAATAAAATAAATAATTTTAATTAATATTTCTGGTAACTGTCTGATTAATCTTCTTTGACAGCATTGTTATTTTAGACTACATGTACAGCTTAACATAACAATCATGATTATGAAAAAATATAACACATAATAACTTAGAATATATTACATTTGTATATTAGATCTACATGACATGTATAAAATAATTACTCTTTTTTACTAAGATTCATTATGGATTTTTTTTCGATTTCATGTTGATATTGTATCAAACATATTTTATGTTTAAGAGAGATAGTGAGGCGAGAGGTGGGATACGTGTCTAACCTCTGCACCACATGCCAACCCCCCCCCCCCCCCCCCACCTGTCCCATTTAAAAAGTTTGTACCTGTGCAGTAGAATATGTACATGCATAATAAAATCATACAAATTAAGCGGTTTGTTAATAATATCAAGGAACATCTTTTTTTAAAAATTAGATACTTACGGAGAATTTAAAGCCCTCAAGAACAGCTGACATCTATTGAAGTACATAAGATAAGGGACCTACTGTCCCAGCTTTTTTTGACAGCTGAAAGGTCAAAATATAGATCGTTGGTGCATAGGACCTAAATCTAAACGAAAACAAAATTTTGGAAAGGCGTGTTATTAATGCAAAAAATCCAGTTCTTGAAAAGGATAAAATTAATGAACATGATATTATTTTAAACAGTCTAATTTCATTTGATTGATGTTGTTTTTTTTATTTGTAGATTTGACAAGTTTCCGGTTAATACAAAAACATTTTTGACGTTTGGAGTTACATCATTTTTTTTTCTACGAAATTTGGCAAATAGTTATAGTATACGTGAAATTACATAGTTTAAAATATCTTTTAAGCAATGGCCATATTGTAAGATATTGTTGTGTTAAAAATTGTTGTTCTTATGATACCAGAAAGATATGTATGACGGTTTGTAATATAATTTCGCGACAAATATTGCACTAACATAGTATTCGGATATGCAGTAATAATGCTGTATGGGGAGGCAGGGGTTGTACTGACAGGCCTTCTGTTCGTCTGTCTCAATGCATTTGTGACTACATCTGGATATAAACACTTCTTTGAAACTGGTAAAAAAGATTTTGCAAGTGTTGCACATTATTATTTTAGAAAATTCCTGTTTTATCAGAGTGAAGAAAACAGGTCATGTCAAATCCAAATTTTCAATGTTAGTAGATTACATCTTACAATCTGTCAATCAAAACAGCCAAATTGACAACCTATGACTTCTCAAAACATTTTGATATGGTCAAACTTGAAAACCTTGGCTCTGTTAGCTGCATTATGGAATAATTAAGGGCAGTAACTCTCAAATAGATTGAGTTTTTCTGAGACAATTGGTTACAATCAGTAGTATATTAGGTAGATGGCTCTATGTCAACTACTATCCTAGTCCCCAAGGGACTATGTACATTGTTACAATAATTGTATAAATACATTAATACCATTTAAACATTATTGTATATTTTTATCGATTGATCAGCTGTCAGTTGGAGTGGACGCCAACATAAAATGGCTTATCTGGTCTGAAGTTGTTTGTCTCATTTAATATATCCCAGGTTTTATGATATAAATCAGCAAATTATTGATTTGAAAATGTATAGATATTTTATAAAATTTCATAGTTTAATTTGTAAATTTCATCAGCACTTTTTAGACCTAAACACAATTATTTTATGAATTATTGGATGTTTTCTCGAGATATATAACATAGAGAATACCTTAAATGATGATGATTATTATTATTAAAGAATGCTTTACCTGTTTTAATGAACATTATAGAATTGTTAAAATGTTAATCCAAAACTTGAATATTATCTCCTTTTTTTCTAGGTATTATATTAATGGCAAGTGTTTTTTCATATTGGATGCAAGATAATTTCACATCCAGTAAACCAAGTTTTTTCAGGTAATTTCAGTAAAATTTTCATACATGTAAGATTGATATTAAATAGAATGTTTACAAATGACTAATTGATTACTAATGATATTTTTTTTCAAATTATTCATTAGGGCACTATTTTTTGTGTGTGTATACACAAATTACCCAAGAAATCATGCTGGTAAGAGAATTTATAAGTGAATGCAAACTGTAACTTTACACTAGTAGCAATTAAATTTCATCATCATTTATATTATTAACTTAAATTATCTTTGGATTACATTAGATCACAAGATGCAGGGCTATGGGCTTGCCTGTTGTTACCCAGTGTTGCTAATGGCATGGAAACAGAAGGTAAATATTTTTAAAAGATGATGTAATGAAATAAATTTCATTCAAATGTACCAAAGTATATGTAAAGTATATGTAAATGATACAGAAGCAAGGAAACCTCTATGCTTAAATCACAGTACAATGATGTAATGATTGAAAACATGACATTTGAATATATTTACATTTTATTGTCCCGTTGTAAACTTACTGCAGAAATCTGAAGCAATTTTGTTGCTGCCTTATTTTATTCTTGGTTAACATCATATTATATAGTAATAACTATAGGTACCAGTTTGAATTGGCTTAAATGCTATGTAAGTTCTATTAATTAAATGCCAAATTGTAAAGAGAAAAAATGGAAAGGAAATTCTGTTCACTCTGAGCCCTTTGTTTAAATATTTCAGATAGAAGTTTATTATGGTGTCTAGTTATGGTAACATTGGTGAATTACGTGTACAGTGAAGGTAAGGCAATATCAAGGACATGGCAGGTGTGTGTAGTGCTGATGTCAGCTTGTCTAACACTAGATACCATTTATCATAAACCACTAGGTAAGTTAAAGGCCATAAAATGCAGTTATTTTCATTTTATATCTTTTGTGTCCTGTTACAGTTTCCAAAATTGGAAAAGTATTCATTGGCCATACAGAAGAACCCCCTTTGTTGTTTGTTTTGTGTTTTGGCAATAAGTATGGTTATAGTGAAGTGGTATTTTGTATCAAAGTCAAATTTCACTTTGCTTATATTTTGCTCCCTTTATCACAAATTAGGTCACATGTAGGACTATTTTATTCAGATGATAGGCATCTTTCATGTTCTTAATCCATTACTTCAATATGATTAAAGACATGTTTGCCATTTCTACAGAAGTAAAGTAATTTATTTCTGACGCTTAAAATACCTTTAACATGTATACTGAAAAAGAAATACTGTCTGTAAATGTCTGTCTGTAAATTTTTGATATGACATCATAACATCTTATTTGGTCTTTGTTTAATGTCACCAGATGATATATACTATACTTGACTTACCATGCTTGATATGTGTTTATTTGTTTTATAGATGCAGTTGCTATGGTAATTTGCTGTTTTATATACATGTATATGTTGTTGAACGTGTCATCATGGTTCAGGAAAAGTTTTACCTTCGGGGAAGCATCTATAGTCTTACAGTTACATATCTGTCAAATATACAGAGGTCTCAGAAATATCCAGGTAATTAAGTGATGTTTGAAGTGTATAACTGATGTCTAAATGATTTAAATGCATGTTTTAAAATATGCCATTTATTACTCACCAACAATGTACTATTTGTTTTGCTGTAAAATTCAGAGACTTATATAATAGAGGGATAAGAAGCTCTAACAATAGGGAATTTTCCAATCCTGACACACAATTCATTTTGCAACATTCCTTGGACATTTGTGTAAAAAATTTCTTGTGTCAAACATGGTCTCAGAAAATCTCTCGAAAATGTGAACATGTGGGGTAATATATCCCTGATATAGCTTTTAAGTGTTTGACATAATAGCTTCCACTCCATTTAAATATAGCTCTGTGTTTAAGTGTCATAACTGGTAAAATGTTGTTAATTTTGATTTTACTACAAATGTATTTAATGGGAGATTAACATTAAAACATTAATTAGTAGATTGTTTCCAATGTGATAAGCACATATTTATTGAATTAGTTTAATAAACATTCACTATTCATTAGTTTACATTGTATTTATTATAGTATAAATTTGTTTATTTATTCTCCTGTATAATTAATGACATTTATAAATTTATTCTTATGACAAATTCTTCTCTTGTAGAAAATAATAATTATCCCTATGCTATGTTTTCAGACTTCAGATCCTCTGGAAAAAATGGCAGTTGTAAGTATAGAACAAAAATTGTTCCTAAATCAAGAATAATCTTTTGTTATTATACCCCCGCACAACAAAGTTGTAAGGGGGGTATACTTGAAACATTTGATTATTATGAGCTTCATTCCGTAGTAAAATAAAGAACAAAAACTCATAAAATTCAAATTAAGAGCTATTTTTAGCTCACCTGTCACAAAGTGACAGGGTGAGCTTTTGTGATCGCTTTTCGTCCGGCGTCCGTAAACTTTTACTTTAAATGACATCTCCTCATAAACCACAAGGCCAATTTCATCCAAACTTCACAGGAATGTTCCTTTGGTGGTCACCTTTAAAAATTGTTCAAAGAATTTAATTCCATGCAGAACTCTGGTTGCCATGGCAACCGAAAGAAAAAACTTTAAATATCTTCTTTTAAAAAACCATAAGAGCTAGAGCTTAGATATTTGGCATGAAACATCTTCTAGTGAGTGTCTACCAAGTTTGTTCAAATAAAATCCCTGGGTCAAAATTGGCCCCGCCCCAGGGGGTCATGATTTTCCCTATATGCATATAGTAAAAACTTAAAAAATCTTCTTTTAAAGAACTCAAAGAGCTATGGCTAAGATATTGAGCATCAAACATGTTCTAATAGGTGTCTACCAAGTTTGTTCAAAGAAAAGCCCTGGGGTCAAAATTGGCCCCGCCCCAAGGGGTCATTGATTTTCCCTATATGCATATAGTAAAAACTTAAAAAATCTTCTTTTAAAGAACCAAAAGAGTTAGAGCTAAGATATTTAGCATGAAACATGTTCTAATAAGTGTCTACCAAGTTTGTTCAAATAAAAGCCCTGGGGTCAAAAATGACCCCGCCCCGGGGGGGTCATTGATTTTCCCTATATATGCATATAGTAAAAAACTTAAAAAATCTTCTTTTAAAGAACTCAAAGAGCTATGGTTAAGATATTTAGCATCAAACATGTTCTAATAGGTGTCTACCAAGTTTGTTCAAATAAAAGCCCTGGGGTCAAAATTGGCCCCGCCCCGGGGGTCATTGGTTTTCCTTATATGTGTATAGCAAAAACTTAAAAACTCTTTTTTTGAAAAAAACCCAAATAGCTAGAGTTAAGAATATTAAAGCATAAAACATCTTTTAGTGAGTGTCTACAAAGTTTGTTCAAATAAAAGACCTGGGGTCAAAATTGGCCCCGCCCCGGGGTCATTGATTTTCCTTATATGTGTATAGCAAAAAACTTAAAATCTTCTTTGAAAAAACCCAAATAGCTAGAGTTTAGATATTAAGCATGAAACATATTCTAGTAAGTGTCTACAAAGTTTGTTCAAATAAAACCCTGGGGTCATAACTGGCCCGGCCCCAGGGGTGTCATTGTTTTTTAACTATATGTGTATAGTAAAACTTTAAAAAAATCTTCTTTAAATAGCCCAATGAGCTAGAGCTTAGATGTTTAGCATGAAACATCTTCTTATGGGTGTCTACCAAGTTTATGCAAATAAAAGCCCTTTGGTTAAATTGGCCCTGCAACGTTTGGGGGGGGGTGGGGGTTGGGGGGGCCTATATACAGGTGAGCGACCTCAGGGCCATCATGGCCCTCTTGTTTTGTTTTTATGAGCTTATTTTGCTTATGGACGTTGGTCCAGGTGGTGTTTATGAGCTGATTTACGTCCGGCTGTCCGTCTGTTTTTCTTGTCCGCCCAATAACTTAAGATTCTTTTGACCCACAGTCTTCATATTAGGCATGGATGTTAGTCATGAGTAGTAGAAGACCCCTATTGATTTTGAGGTCACTGGGTCAAAGGTCAAGGTCACAGGGGCCTTGACTATAAAAAAATTGTCCGCCAAATAAACTTTAGATTCTTTTGACCCACAGTCTTCATATTTGGCATGGATGTTAGTCATGAGAAGTAGATGACCCCTATTGATTTTGAGGTCACTGGGTCAAAGGTCAAGGTCACAGGGGGGCTTGACTATATAAAGCTTGTCCTCCTTTACTTGTGTATTTATAGTATATATAGTATCATGTAAGTAATACAGAATTTATACTTTCCTATATACTATCCTCTAGAAATTAGGAACACTGATTTGTTTCTTTCAGGTTGTGTATATGGGATTACATATAGCAATATTGTGTTTGTACCTGTTGTCAAGGAAACCATGTGGGACTGTGTTATTATGGGTTGTCATGGCAATGATAGGGTTAGCTTATCTCATTGTAGCAGGTGTCTTTTATCTGAAGGTGGCTGATTTATACAGGTTACTTGACAATGTCATAGCAACTAATGTATCTGTAAGTAATGTTTATCTTTTATAAATTTCTATTCATTTGCGAGCAGTTAATGAAATAACCTAGTTTGTTATAATTTTGATTTTGAAAAAAAGTAGTATGTATTAATAAACATTTTTGCATTATATATATATATACATGTATACCAATATAATATATACGGTCACAACAAAATTTGTGGATTAAAAATCTAAATTGTTATTTCAGGCTGTTCTTCTTTGTTGGTGGTTTCTGTGGCTAATAACCAGTGTGATGCTTGTTTGTTACCATGGCAACAAGGGGTCAAATTTTATATGCAGAAAACTGTCCAATCAATCTACAGCAGCAACAGAAGAGAAATCAGTTTATGAAAATGTTGAAGCTGAAGATATATCAGGTCATACATGTTCTCACACAGACCCTGACGAGAAATATAAACAAGTTAACCCCGGGGTCACAGGCATTAACACAACAAATAAATCATACACTAAAACTAAGAGTAAGAAGGTGAAAGTTGAGGAGTCTGGAAGTGGAGACACCACATCAGTGAGGAAGTTGTTTCATGTCGCTATGATATGTGTATATATACCAGGACTGTTGTTGAGTCCAAGTCTCCTATATCTAGCTTCCATCGTCATTGCTGCAGTACTTATTATCACAGAGGTAAAGTCAAATATGTTTTCCTATCTTGCAGGCACTTTTCTCTCAAATAGAAATGTCATTTCTAAAATATTTTGAAAATACAGTAGAACTTCTATGAGTCGAACTTCGATTAGTCGATTTTCTCGATGTGTCGAAGTAAAATGAAAGTCCCGATTTTTTCCCTTATATATTCCTTATAAAAACCTATCTATGAGTCGAGATTTTATGTGTCGAGTTTTTCGATGTGTCGAAGTTTTTTCGTGGTCCGTATAAAGAAAATCTAGTGCAATTTACCACAAATAAGTCGAAGTCTTTCGATTATTTTGACACCTTCGATCTCGAGACATTTTTCACACCTTATCTGGCTGCGAAGACGATTTCCAATTAACTTGTGTGACAGGTGTCAACAACACATCCGTGTATTCAAACAGCCTTTGTTTGCGATAAAATGTGTGATAAAATGCTTTAATCGTTACTATTTTAATTGCCGTAGTGGTATTTGAAAGTAAACAGTAAGAACTACTTTCATTAGAAAACATCCATTGACCCGGTGTTGCGTGAGAATTACACGCGAAATATTTACTATAAGCCGGTTTAGTTATCGCCCTTTCTCACTGTTACGCCTTTTTTTAACTCTATTGTATACGTCAACGGGTAGTCAAAATAATAAGCCGTGAAAAACGTTATCTAACATGCTATATTTATCATAGTTAAATGTAAAATATCTCATTAATGATTGAAAAACATGAAAAAGGTTTCGTTATAGATCTTATGATTAGCACTAGTCACGGGTCGAAATTTTGTCATGGAATTGAGAGCGATTCATGAGTCGAAGTCCCGATGTGTCGAAGTTTTTACCCAAGTCCCTTCAACTTCGACTTACCGAAGTTCTACTGTATATATATATATATAATTTGAATACTAGAGTTGATGTTTGCTGACATTTTAATACATGTATGTACTTTCTCTAGGAAAATAACATAGATTTATTACTTTGAATCAGAGAATCATAAAAACAAAATATTATCATAATCGTTCATACCTTTCATTTATTTAAAACTTGCAATTAACATGTTCACGTGTATAATCCAAAATATAATTTTATTTATAGGTTATCCGAGTGTTGAAATTACCTCCCTTTGGCCCTATACTTGACCAGTATCTATGGGTGTTTCTGGATGATCAAGACACTGGTGACCTTATTTTGACCCCGATATATCTTCTTATAGGTTGCTCATTACCTTTATGGTGGAACTATAAACTACAAAGTAAGAATTATTATATATGTTTTATCAGTCATAATATCATGGCCATTATACTTTAATTCCTTGAATGCAAGTGCCAAAAATAACTCACAAATTTTACTGTTAGTATAATAATGGGGTATGTGTGTGTCCAATTTGTAAGGACGTTGACTTTAAACCATTTGCTCCTCACTGCTGTAGATGCATTCATGTGAGGAAGCTATCCAGCTAGATAAGGAACATCAATGGTTCTACTCTGGTGCCCACTCATGGCTTAAATAATAGAAGGAGCACCTGAGGTCTCAATCCACCAGTAAAGCTGGAAAGTCGTCATATGAACTCTACTGTGTTGGTGCCAAATAAAACCCCAAGTAAAAGTCACTATTATAGAGCCATTTTGATCTTGCTAATAACTTTTAATAAAATGTCGCGAAGTCAAAACAGGGTAAGGCGGCATTATAGGAGTTAAATATTATAAGTGCTATTCTAAGGTGTGGAGTCCTCTTTTGTAGAACATTTTTACCTACAGGTTTGTTATGACTAATACTTTATTACTACATATATTTTCATAAATATGCGTCTGAATTGTTTACCAGGACCACCATGTTCTCTATCCATGTATGCTGGACTTATATCTGTGGGTGTAGGTGATGGCGTAGCTTCTGTCATCGGCAGAAAATATGGCAAACATAAATGGCCAGGTAAATCATTATATTTTATAATTATATTGTGCATTAACAGAATATCTAGAATGAAATAATTTTGTCATTATATTTTAACAAAAGCGCTGTGACATGCATAAACTCATTACAAAACCTACTTAATATACCAGCAGAATACCAAGAATAGTTGCTGAATAGAAATATTCTGTTCCTAATAATTTTATTCTGTTTACATATAAGATTCATGTATATTAATTTTCATTTTTTTTTTTTCATTTTTCTGAAAATATTTCATGAGATATAGTTTTATACACTTTAATACTGTTTTGTTTTAATACAATTCTGTACAAATCTTATCCTGAACTAAATTTCTGAAATATGATATGTTGATATAGATTATTTTGTATACAGGTAGAAAGAAATCAATAGAGGGGACATGTGCTGCCATTATATCACAAATTATAGCTGTTTATCTTCTTTCATTTGCCAGTAAGTGATGTACAACTTATTATCTTATCTTTAATTAGATTAAACACCTCAATATATTTAGTTCAGTCTGGTTGCGAAACATTTTCTTGCAACGTATATTAATAACTTGCAAGTTGGCTTCCTGGAACTAAGCATAAATGTTGATATATTGGGACACATGGTTGTGACCCCCCGATAAGGCTTAATCTGTTCCGTGGTGGATACCTTAAACCACAAGGCAGTCACTCTTCATATTCCATACATAATATAACTTGCTTGGTAAATAAGTCTATATAAGGAAGCTTATAAGTGATGAGGTTTTTTTATTGTCTTTTTTTACTACCCTGTATTTAAATAGCCAAAAGCCACATACATGTTACATTATATCAGATAACAGAATAAAAATAGACAGAGTATACAGTTTAAACCTTAATAAATACTCTTATGAGTTATTTCTTAATGAATTTTCTATCTATTTTTAGACATTCCAGGAGGGCTGGTAACCATGGAGATTGTTGTATGTGTTGTTCTGACATCACTACTGGAGGCATTAACACATCAGATAGATAATCTAGTAGTTCCTATATTTGCCTGGGTTCTGTTTGCCACTGTAGAACCTACTTATTAACCATATAGTCAACAAATTCTGTGATTCTTTAAAACATTGGCGATCATCCATTTCAACCTCATATACTCTGAATCTTTTGAAATTTATATACTTGTGTATATAATTGTAGACATTTATTTTTATGTCAAGAAATACCAGGAAAGTGGCTTTAAGTCTCTTAACACAAGTTCATGGTCTACAGCCCAAGACAGGTCTTTGAGGCCCAAGTCAGATAATTCCTTCACTATTTTAAAATATACCTATAATAGAAACTCACAGCTATGATGTTTTATAAGTATGCATTTCAAGTCAACATAGTTGAACCTTAGACAGTACGTTATATGTATTATACAAGAATATTTCATTTATTTGAACAGAGAAATGTATAACGGAATATACATGTAGCTCTGTGATTCGGAGTGGTATTTGCTTATAAGTTAAGCATTTGTTTATGTTCAGGCATATTTCAAGATATCCAACATAGTGCAATAAAGAGATATCTGTTTGTTCAGATATATTTATATAATTGTGAAGCATGTACTAAATTAGGCACGATTATTTGGCAATGTAAATAATGTCAAGAAGTTAATTATTTTTTTACACCGGCAAAGAAATGTGGGGATAAATATTATTTTGTGCATCTTTTATACAAATGTGTTCATTTTTATGTTGAAAATATTAAAATATACTTTGCAGTTTGTTGTATTTTGCTTCATCTCATATGATTACAAAATTTAAATCACAATATTTATTTTGACGGTTGGTGACATTGTCATTACAATCTGTCTGTCATCTATTCTGAATGACGGTCCACCTGCATGAAAGGGCACAAAAAGCAGCTTTCACTGCTTTCAAGTACAGACCCCAGATATGTCGCCAGTCATGCCCTTGAAGGGTTTATTTTGAAGCACAAAGTGGTGATAATTTACCTCTATGCAATTTCCATTAGCTAAAGAGACATGAATTTTGAGCCAAAAGTAGGTCACTGTACGGCGACCAATGAGAACATAAATGTGCAGTAACCCCCCTGAGTCAATATGAAATGGAGGTAGCCCTGAAAGGGCCTGCATTTCACACACTTAAACTATGCTGGTCGTCCTTTCCTACTTTGTACAGCTATTTCCCTCAGCTTTAGACAGAATATTGGCAGCTGGTCTGCTCCGAGAAAAAGTGAGAAGTTGTCTCTACAGTTAAAATGTATTCTATGTATAAAAACTTCCCTCCTTATTTGTCATAAAGTAAAAGCAGAATATCTTACAATACTGTAGAAAATAAAAACAAAACTAGAATCACTGAATTAACAAGGTTTATCTGGCTTAAGTTTATTTGGCAATATATAAGCTAAAACATAAAATTGACTTGGGGGTTAATGGTTAACTGGCAAGAAATAAGCCTAGTAAAATACATATCATTGACGTTTTGGGGGTTAATTGGCAAGATAAAAGCTAAATTATAAAACTGATTAGATACATGTATAAGGTAATTATATAAAACTATCATGTAGTCAATAAGTCACAGAACTATAACAATAGTTTTTAATGTGATTTCTTGTGACTGTTGCTTTTCTTCCCAGATAAATTTTGCCGAAGAGCAAACAATATAGGCATTATAAACAATAATATGTTTAACAACCAGAATATTTGTTGTGAATGAGCTTGTGACGGCACCCGAAACTCCGCCTCTGTTCTTGGATGTATACTTCCACCTATATGTGAAAACTGACCCTGAAAAATAAAGAAAAGTTATTGATTCATGTTACTGCAATCATGCACATTCAAAGAAAATATAATAAGACTTGCTTGTCAATTATTAAATCTCGTAACTTTTGATCTCATACCTGTGAGCTAGCTGTCTTAATTTATAAGCATTGGGTAAGAAATTCATTAAAATACTAGGCCTCTTATAGAACTGTGAGAAAGGAAGGATCTTTTAAAATTATTCAATAAATTGTAATGAGGGAAGCATACATTACATGATATAATCAAAAACAAAGGTGGGAGTCTGTGGCTGAGTGGTTATGGGCATTCAAACCACTTGCCCCTCACCACTGTAGGTTCAGAGTCTTGCTAGAGTCTCCCTATTCTTTCATGTGAGAAAATTATCCAGCTAGCTTATGGAAAGGATGGTGGTTCTACTCAGATGCCCTTTCGTGCCTGAAATAGTGTACAGTGGCACCTGAGGTCGAAGTTCTCCACCAGTAAAGCTGGAAAGTCGCCATATGACCTATACTGTGCTGGTGTAATGTAAAACCCAATAAAAAACAAACAAACAAAGGTTAGAAATATTTAAAGGATTCTAAGCTTATTGAGAAATTCTCAACTTGAGAATTACCTGAGCAGCAGCCCCAGCATACAACAAAGCCCAGTCGGACATCCACACCTGACCTGGGTTCAATAACCCATAGATTGCACTCGCATAATATGGCACAAAGTACATCAAGTAAACTATCAGCTGTTATAACATAATGAATCACATGTACAGAGGCATATAGTTACTTTGCAGGGCCGGCAAAATCAGATTTTGACAATGACTTGTTCATAGATATAAATCTTGAAAATTTCTACTTGTCCATAACTCAGTACAGGCTGTTGGACAACCTGGGTGATACAGACAATTGATTTTGCCGTTCCTGCTTTGTAATTACTAATTATGATAAACATGTATTTATACTTCTTGTATATGATTTGAAAAGTGTCAATTACAAAATAAATCCAAATATTTTTTAATGTTTTTATTTACAATGATAATATTTATACACATTAGTTTTCACAACAAGTCTAACTGGTATGTAACTAAACAAGAGTCATTTTGATTGCATTAAAGATATTTGCCAAAATGATTTAATTACAATTTGTTCAAAAATCACAAATCATTAAATCTAGTCATCCATATTCTGTTCTATTTTACTGTAATAAAATATCCTTTGAAGCAATTAACTTGTTCTAGTTTCAGGCAGCATGCTTTTTTTACAACTACAAAATTTATCTACATTTGTATTGAAATGAAAATGGGTTTGCCTGCTTAGGTCAACAGAGAAAGCATCTGATTTGTAATCGTGGGATGGCTGGTTCGATCCCCAGGCAAGGCAAAATTTCTCTGTGAGAATTGATGTACGACATTGACTATAATGGCCATTTGTCTCTCACTGCTGATTAAGAAATTGTGTTAGAGAAGTTGTTGTCACTTGTAGAGAAATTGGTAATTATTGGTTAGTTATCCAGGAAAGCTGGTTAGTTGGATCTACTTTCAGGATATGGCGACAAATGCGTAACATTTGTTTATACATTTAGGAGCAAAAAGAAACCAGCATACATCAAGTCTTATGTTAGAACTTGCACTGACTTATGTCCTAGTAATTTGGTTACTTTACTTTCACTGACAAAATCATTTTCATATAGTGAGGATAATTAAAGTCTCAGTGTTTTAATACATAAATATATTGTATCGTTCATGTACAATAACAGAAATGAGAAATTAAGACTGTATAATCCGGAGATATAGATATTTACCTGTAACAGTTTATACCTACCTGAACTTTAGGGTAAGCAAATGGACTGTTGATATAAGGTTCATGATCCTCTAAATATTCTACAAGTATATCCTCCTGACCTCCTAATGCAATCTGTTCAAATCATAGTTATATAATTAAAACATTTAAATTATACCGGGCAGGGAAAATGAGTTCAGTCAATTTGATCTTAAAGAAACTTAAACAGAGTAATATTTGCTCAATTATAATGAAAACTTGAAGCTTTTCTGAAACCACTTTCAAGTCTACTTCCTGTGCCTAACCAGTATTTGTGTCATTTGCGACTCCATGATTTTCCTGGGTTGACACTGAACATGACAAGTTGAAAGATGTAATATCAATTTTAAATGTTTGTGTACAGGCTTATAAAGCTGTTTTCTGTTGTCTTCTAAACAAAATTATTTAGTAATAATAACTAATATTATTAAATTTTCTGTACATATTTGCTAATTTACTGTAAATGAACCAAAATAAGCATTATGTATATACAACTAAATTATAAAATTTAGTTTCTAAGTTTTGACATCAGTCCAGGAGAACCTGCAGACAGAAATCTTATTGTTTCTCAACTCCATTAAAAGTATTAATGTGACTATTTCCAATAATTTCAAATTTTTCAGACATCAGAATCTCAGTCATCTGATAGAATAATAGTGTAGACTGCTTTATTCCTGAATTATCTTAATTCTATTCACATCTAAAATATGACCATATAAATGTACCATAAAACTGAAATAAATCAACTTGTTATATAGACAACTTGGCATTAACTTACTGATCCTCTCAACAGATCCACTATTGTAGCATAGAGGAAGTAAACAATAAACAAAATATCCAGTGGTCTCTTCCATATACTAGATCCTCTATCTGCACACTGAAATACAAGTATATATATCGCCACAGTGCAGTAATGGGTTAACTTCTTGTATGATTTAATAGAAGTTAACCTGTTACTGAACTAAGTTGACAATATCATGAATTAGATGTATCGAATAGATTGTCATCTACTTTTTAATATTTTAAAAGAAAACAACAGAAAAGCAATATATGAAATTTTCTGTAGGCATACATTTGCTGAAACTTCTAATACAAACAAGAACCGGTTGAACCGGGTGATGCTCCCCGAGAAGGTTCTAGACACAGGAAAGTATAAAAAAAATGAACAAAGGGCAAAAACTCCAAAATTAGGCAAAGCAGAGTTATGTTTTTTTGCACTGCACTTCTATTCAATGAGATCTATCTATCTATATAAAGTTTCCTGATGATATCAGAGTTATGTCCCGGGTAAAAGTCAAAGTGTAAAAATGAACAAAGGGCAATAACTCCAAAATTAGACCAGGCTTTGTTTAGGTTCTTTAAGCATTGCAGTTCTATCCAATTATATCTAGCTACCTACAAAGTTTCATGTTGATATCTCATAGTTTTAAAGTAATGTCCAGGACAAAAGTCAAAAAGTAAAAATAAACAAAGGGCAATTACTTCAAAATAAGGCAAGGCAGAGTAATGATTTATAAGCACTGCACTTCCACCCAATGAGACCTATCTATGTACAAAGATTCATGTTGATATCTCTTATAATTTTAGAGTAATGTCCCAGACAAAGTTCAAAGTGTCAAAATGAACAAAGGGCAATAACTCCAAAAGTAGGCAAGACAGTGTTACAGTTCTTGTGCACTGCAAACTTACTCAATGAGATCTATCTACCTACAAAGTTTCATGTTGATACCTCTTATACATTAAGAGTTATGACCCGGACAAGGTTCAAAGTGTAAAAATAAAGAAAGGGGGATAATTCAAAAATTAGGCAAGGCAGAGTTAAGGTTCTTGTTCACTGCACACCTACTCAATGAGATCTATCTACCTACAAAGTTTCATGTTGATACCTCTTATACTTTTAGAGTTATATCCCGGACAAAGTTCAAAGTGTAAAATAAACAAAGGGGAATAATTCAAAAATCAGGCAAGGCAGAGTTACGGTTCTTGTGCATTGCACACCTACTCAATGAGATCTATCTACCTACAAAGTTCCATGTTGATACCTCTTATACTTTTAGAGTTATGTCCAGGACAAAGTTCAAAGTGTAAAAAAAACAAAGGGGGATAATTCAAAAATTAGGCTAGGCAGAGTTACGGTTCTTGTGCACTGCACACCTACTCAATGAGATCTATCTACCTACAAAATTTCATGTTGATACCTCTTATACTTTTAGAGTAATGTCCCGGACAAATTTCAAAGTGTAAAATAAACAAAGGGGGGTAATTCAAAAATTAGGCAAGGCAGAGTTACGGTTCTTATGCACTGCACACCTACTCAATGAGATCTATCTACCTACAAAGTTTCATGTTGATACCTCTTATACTTTTAGAGTTATGTCCCGGACAAAGTTCAAAGTGTAAAATAAACAAAGGGGGATAATTCAAAAATTAGGCAAGGCAGAGTTACGGTTCTTGTGCACTGCACACCTACTCAATGAGATCTATCTACCTACAAAGTTTCATGTTGATACCTCTTATACTTTTAGAGTTATGTCCCGGACAAAGTTCAAAGTGTAAAAATAAACAAAGGGGAATAATTCAAAAGTTAGGCAAGGCAGAGTTACGGTTCTTGTGCACTGCACACCTACTCAATGAGATCTATCTACCTACAAAGTTTCATGTTGATACCTCTTGTTGTTTCAAAGTTATGTCCCGGACAAGAAAAGGGGACGGAAAGACGGACGGACGGACGGACAAGGCGGCGACTATATGCTCCCCCGAAATGTTTTCAGGGAGCATAAAAACTCTGAGTAGGCCTTTATCACCCATCTAAGTTAAATGACAAACAGATAAAATTAGTTTCCAAGTGAAGTATAAGTTCTTTTTGATCCAAGGGCCTTTACATTCCTACCTACCAAATAACTTAGTTTGGGGCATTTTGAGTTCGGAAATTTTTAAGTATATATATGTAACAAATGTGATCCCAAGGTCAGAGATTTTTCTGGCAGTTGTTAGCAACAAATATACCTGTGAATCTAATGTTGTTGGCTGACGTGACTTCAGGAGTCTGAAGGCAATCCACACAGGAACAAACAAGTATGGAAGATTCAATAGAATTGCAACTTTGACACCAAATTTTCCTGTAATATGAAAATGCAGCAAGTACACTTGTTAAATTTACAACATCTTGATGTTGTTAAAAGTAATAAAACATATCATACAAGTATATCAACACTTGAGGACAATAAAAGCTCAATCAAAGAATTTCTTAGTGTCATTATATGTAATTGTACTATAAGAAAAGTCTCATAATTAAGGTCTTATATTTTAAGGTCTGTTCTGTTTTTTTTTTGTTTTATAGAGAACTGTTCAATAACTGAACTATTTAGGGGATAAGATGTGTAAGCAACAGATAGCTCAGTTGGTACAGCCACAGAACGGCATTCCAAGGGTCCTGGTTCCAGTCAGGCTGCACATTTTCCTCACCCTATGACACATCAAATCAAACTTATGTAAACTATAAAATCTGTATCATTGCAGAATATAAATGTATCATTCCTGATATAAAACTTTTTGTTTACATATCAACCATATTCTTTTCAAATTAACTTGATTATAAAATTCATGTGAGAGTTTAAATCACAAATACAGCAACTTTTAAGGCACATGTACATACAAACAACTATAATACCTATAACACTGCCAGGAACCAGTACCAACAAACTGTTTATGATGGAACCAGACCAAAACAATCCAACTTTTCTGTAACTCCATCTGTGTACAAACATAACGGTCATTTTATATTATAATTTTATATTTTACATGATATCAATAATCTAATATACTGGTAGTACATAAACTGTAAAGTTCTAAACATTTGCTTTTCAAAACTTGGAAAACTGATCATTTAAGTCATTGATCTGAAAATTGAGCCAACTATATATGGTAGACTTATGCAACTTCTAGTATGTATTACTATAAGATGAGAACCAAACCCAATCTAAATACATGTATTTGTTATACTTACAAACAGTTTATAAATTGTAAGTTTGCCTGATGCACCGTTAGCTATACTGTCTTATTTAACAAAGAAACACTTACAAAATTGTACATTTGTCTAAAATATAAGTGAAAAACAAGTTATAACCAAAACTACAAATTACTACAATAACTTTACCCTTTTGATATTGCATATAACATCCACAAACATATTCCATAGTGAACCGTACCATCCCAGTAATTGATCATGGTTCCATATGGTGTCCATAGATAGGGTTCCCCATCTTTCAGATAAAATGTCATCACCTCCGGTATTAAACCATCGGCCTCCAGGGCAATAATAAGGTCGATTATACTACTGAACATGAAAAGACCCATTACTGAAACATAAGAAAAGACCCATTACTGAAACATAAGAAAAGACCCATTACTGAAACATAAGAAAAGATCCATTACTGAAACATAAGAAAAGACCCATAACTGAAACATAAATATAAACATATTATTTACAAGTAACATATTTTATATTTTCATCAGTTTACTTTCAGTTATAAAAGAATTTAAGCCAGTTCTTGTGGCACCTGCATATATTCTAAAACATAGATCTTGATATTCATTAATTTTCTCACTTAAAAAATATTACCACAATATAATATTTATAATTATCTTAAAATTATGATATCTTATTTATGATGTATGGTCATAAATATGTTATTAACATTTCGAGGGGTAACCACAAAACTGTTGTAAATCTCTGAGTCTTCTTTATTTCATATAAGTTACAACAGTTCTGCATTAACACTCAATTAGTTAAAGTCTAAAATCATGAAGTATATTGTTTTAATTACCATATGATTTATAAACTCTGGTTACTTCTTTTTATGATGTATGGTAATAAATATGTAATTAACATTTGTATAAGTCAGAAATCATGCAATACATATTGTATATTGTTTTACCATATAGGATAAACTCTGGTTTCTTCATACGCCTCACAAGAAGAAAGGGAACCAGCACAATCAATGACAACACTACCATCCCAACAACTAATATCACTACTGGTTCCTGCATCCATTGTTGAGTGTTTAGAATATAACACAGGGGAAATGGTATCAACGAAATGAGGAATATAACAACTAATGCTGACATGGTTCTGCTTAATACTGATCTCTATCTGAAAATAACATAAAAATGTTTAAACATTATGATCCACTTCATAATTATTACAACAAAGTGGATTGTGGTGAATCTAACAGAAATTTTCCCTTCATTTTCAATAGAAAATCTTACATACATCATGATATCTCCCAGTTTAAGAGTAAATATTTTATGCTCAATACCCAATTCCATTACAGCACTGCATACAATTAATGCCCTCTTTCCATGTAAAATGGTTGATTTACCTAGAATTACTTCAGTGAAACCAGTAACCTGCAATATGTGTAGCTGTGTAGTATAAATCCGACAGAAAGAACACAATACTGTATCTCAAGGCGGAGTACGTTTACAATTCCATGACATGGAATTGTAAACGTACTCCGCCTTGAGATACAGTATTGTGTATGCACTACATTACATGTATATGTAGTCCAACTACATGATGTAGTTGGACTACATATACATGTAATGTAGTGCATACACATACATAGAATTTTCCACATGTATAAAATAATGAGTGATTTACCTCGACTTATTCAATCCGGGAATGCATTGAAACTGGGACTGTATCTTCTATCCCAGATTGAAATAATCAACCTGTGAAATATATGTACATGTAATCAAAGCACTGGTGATAGTCCAAAGTCTGATACATGTATTTATTAAATTCTTACACGTGTAGATAATAATCATAAGCATTTTGTCATATTGAATTTCATAAAAAACAGTAAAATCATTATTTACCTCTGATATAAGAGCTATACAATAAAGTAATATCCCAAGTCTTGTAGTTTTACGTGCAATTTTTTCAAGCACGGTAATTTGTCAATCTCAGTTGACATATGGCGGGTAAAACAAGTACTCTTCAATTCTTCAATTCCATATCCGCTTTCACTTTCAGTAGTGATGTGTGTTTTTTTGGTGTTTTTTTCTTTTACAGTGTTTACTCAAAGAGATATCAGTTTATCGTTATATATAGGAGTGACAACAGAGCTATGACGTAGGTAAGCTTTGAAAAACGGAAGTAAAAAAAAAAGAAGAATTATATGCTTTAGATTTTTTGACCAGTTTTGTGTTTTAGTTTATCAGTTATTTTGATATTTCTCAGTTGATTGTTATTGCTATAATACGAATCAAGTTTTATTGTCATAAACAACTTTATTTTATCTTTGATCTCATTATTATTGTGCTTCATATGTCATTTAACATGACCTTTGATTGGAAATAAAAGTTATTCATTTCAATTCTATTCTATTCTATTTTATTCAGTGTGTGTTTAGAAAAAAAAAGTAAATGTTTGATGTATAAAATTGCCATTCGTTTTATTTACAGTAATTTCAGTAAAGGATATATCTGGATAGAAAGGTTACTACGTGTATATGTGTACCTGTTTTTGAATAACATTTGGTGTTGACAAGGTTAGTTGTTGATCATGTATGTTGATATCACAGACCAAGTTTATGAACTATACCAAGATGATGAGATTTGTTCAGTGCTACAACTTAACTACAATCACATAAATGAATTAACAGATGATGACATGAATTCCAAAACCTTCAAGAATGCAAAATGCTTGTATTTAAAGAGGAACAACATCAAAACTTTGGTGAGAATTCATTAATGTAGGATATGGCATTCAAAGTATGTGTGTACAGGATTCCACTTATACTTGTTATAGGGACTTATATATGGTCATTTCTTTTGTTATTTTATTATGTGGATTAGAGGGCCATTGCCAAAGATCTATGCTTCCATATACCCATATTGCCTTATACTCCATTTTCCATACTCTTCAAATAGCTCTAGATTGCATTGCCTTATTTTCCGTATTGCCTTATTTTCCGTATTGCCTTATTTTCTGTATTGCCATACTTCCTTTGCTGTACTTTCCATATTATAGTACTCCCCATATTGCCATATTTTCCTTATTGTCATACTCACCATTTTGCTATACTCACCATATTGCCATACTCTTCTTATTACCATACTCACCGTATTGCCATACTCACCATTTTGCCATACTACCCATATTGCAATACTGCCTTTATTGCAATACTCACCATATTGCCATACTCACCATATTGTCATACTCCCCATATTGCCCATATTGCCATACTCCCCATATTTCCCATATTGCCATACTCCCCATATTGCCACACCCCCTTTTGCAATACTTCTCCTTTGCTATTCCTTCAATACTGCCATACTCCCCATATTGCCATACTTTCCTTATTGTCATACTCTCCCATCTGCTGCATTACTTAGCAACCAGAATTCTGATTCTGAAAATTTTGAAGCAAATTAATTGGACAAACTGGCATTTATCAAAATATTGTGTAAATTTTTGAAACAAAATCTGCAATCAAATTACTCTTCAATTGTAGTTCAGTAAACTTGAATAACTAGTTTAGTTATAAAATGATGTGATATCAAGGATACTGTGTTTAGGTATTTAAAGTTCTGAATGCAAAGATTGTCAAATGAATTTATAGTTCTTTTGTTATTTCAGCCAAAGAGCATAAATTTAATGATAGCACTGACACAATTGTAAGTATTTTAAGCCTTACATTTTATTTTAATTCATTCTAAAATCATTTAAATTATTGCTAAATTCTAAGAGCCATATTTTTTTTAATTTAAAGTGTAGTAAGCATTTTATAGTATATCAATTCTTATCATTGTTTAAGGCATATTTATGGCAGCAATTGTATTTATTGTTTAAGGCATATTGAAGGCAACAATTGTTGTCGTTGTTTAAGGCATATTGAAGGCAACACTTATTTTTGTTTAAGGCATATTGAAGGCAACAATTTATCATTGTTTAAAGCATATTGAAGGCAACAATTGTAATCATTCATGTTTAAGGCATATTGAAGGCAACAATTTATCATTGTTTAAGGCATATTGAAGGCAACAATTGCTATCATCATTTAAGGCATATTGAAAGCAACAATTTATCATTGTTTAAGTCATATTGAAGGCAACAATTGTTATCATTGTTTAAGGCATATAGAAGGCAACAATTTATCTAGTCTACCAGATGAGATTGGTGATTTAAAGTTACTGGAAGTGCTCAATGTTGTATCTAATGGTTTGACAAGCATACCAACTAGTATTGGTGGACTGAAATGTCTTAAAAAGCTTCAGATATCTATGAACAAAATAAGATGCCTTCCAAATGGTAAGTTATGATTATACATTATAGATACAAGGGTTAATGAGGTGTGTCACCGTGTGTAACATAGTACACTTTATCTAAAAAATGAAACAAAGACCATGTAATAATATGAAGACATGGTTGATATAGAAATCTGTATGCACTGCATGTTGAGGGTTCAAATCCTGTCAGGTCTCAACTTGGGCTTCTTTTTTGTGAAGTAACTGTCCAGCTAGTTTACAGAGTCTGTGGTTCTACTCAGATACCAAATGATGTCTGAAAAAGGAAGGTAGCTGAGGTTTTCCTCCATTAATTAAATTGAAAGTTGCAGTGTCATCTTAACTGTAATGATGTAACTTAAAACCAAAAAGTTAGATATAATTATAAGGAAATTTAAAAGAAAAAGATTAAGCTAATTTCAGTGCTATTTTAAAGCTTTTAAATGCCAGGCCATTTGTTGCAATTGTAAACTGGTTGGCTTAAACAATTAGGATAATTCATTATAAAGTAATAATGCAATAAACTTTCTCTCATGATTATACCAAAACTGTTGCTACCAACAGTCAATAAAATTTAATGGTTTATTTTTTCATAACTATTAGAGTAAAACTAAATACCAATGACCTTGCACTTACTACCATTGACCTTGAAATGACCTTGACCTTTTTATTACAGAAATTGGAAACTTACAGTGTTTGGAGACATTGGAGGCTTCTAGTAATAATTTGTTTAGTGTACCAGTCAGTCTTATAAACTGTACACAACTAAAACTGCTAGCTCTTGATAAGAATAAGTTGAAGTTGTTTCCAAGGCAACTATGCAGATTGAAGAAACTTACAGAACTTTCTTTAGCCGGAAACCAGTTGGAATATCTTCCACCAAGTAAGTTGTGAATTATGTATAAAAAATAGGTATGTGTATTAAGCATCATTATTATGCTTAGAGGTAGAGGTCGTAGATCCTGGACTCTCTGATTCAAGTGGAAATATCTTACGTGACCATTTTGCTGTTACATTTGATGTCAAAGCCTCAAAACCTGCACCGGTACGGAAATTGGTTTCTTACAGAAAACTTCGCGCAATTGACATTGATTCTTTTCGAGATGACATACGGAAAATGGAATTCTTCAACAAAGAGTGTATCCCTTCTGACATAGATGGTTTTATGATGGAGTATTCAGACAGTCTAACCTCTATTTTGGATAAACATGCTCCGATGATTAACAAGACTATTACATTGAGACCTGCTTGTCCGTGGTATACAGAGCAACTCCACGAAGCCAAACATGAAAAACGTAAACTGGAACGGAAATGGCGTGAAACTAAACTTACAATAGACCATCAGATCTACAGAACACACTGTTCTAGTGTGAACAATATGTTAAAACAAGCTCGTGTAGAATACTATACAAGTAAAATAGAGTCTTGTGGCAATGATCATAAAAGTCTATCTAAGATTACCAAAGGTCTACTTGGAGATACAAATGAAGTGATTCTACCATTTGATTCATCTTCAGAGCGCCTTGCCCAGAAATTCAGTGACTTCTTTATCGGAAAGATTGAAACAATAAGGAATAACATACGTTCTCAAACACAATCGGTACCTGATAATGTAGATATGGAATCTGAATATACGGGTGTCAAATATACTGTGTTTGCTCCAACCACAGAGCAAGAAGTAAAAGCATTGATTAAAAAATCAGCCACCAAATCCTGTGAGTTAGATCCCATTCCGACATGGCTGTTAAAAGAATGCCTAGATGAACTAACACCAGTGATAACGAGTTTTATAAACGTGTCCTTGGATGCTGCTTATGTACCAAAAATGTTCAACACTTCACGAATAAGACCACTTCTAAAGAAACCAAATCTAGATCCTAACGAACTGAAAAACTATAGGCCTGTGTCTAACTTGCCATTCCTGTCTAAAATCTTGGAAAAGGTCGTTGACGTACGAATTGAGAGCCATCTGAAGACAAATAATCTACACGAGGTCAACCAATCTGCTTATTGCAAGTTCCATTCGCCCGAGACTGCATTGTTAAAAGTTCAAAATGACATTCTACGGTCTTTGGATAATAACAATGTGACTATTCTCGTGATGCTTGATTTGTCTGCTGCTTTTGATACAATTGATCACGGAACGCTCCTTCGCCGCCTTGAACGACACTTTGGAATTACAGGCAAGCCACTCGCATGGATGACGTCATACCTGACCGACCGATACCAGACTGTATGCATAAACAACAAACTATCACAGCCAGTCCACGTGGAGTACAGTGTGCCTCAAGGGTCTGTCCTGGGACCCAAGAGCTATGTGATGTATACGAAACCTGTCGGAGAAATCTGCCGTAAACATGATCTAAACAACCATTTCTTCGCAGATGACTCACAACTCTATCTATCCTTCAAACCAGTGACTAATATTTCAATTCAGGAGAATATAAACCGTATTGAAAGATGTCTTGAAGATATTGTAAGTTGGATGAATGCCAACATGCTGAAGCTAAACGGCGACAAAACAGAGTTGATCATCTTCTCATCTGAACATAACGCACAACCTGTTTCAGATGTTACAGTAACAGTCGACGGTTCGAAAATTAGCCAATCATCTAGTGTGCGCAATCTTGGTGCATTTCTTGACTCGAACATGAGGATGGAACAACATGTAAATAATGTCTGTAGGAACTGTTATGCACAATTAAGACAAATCGGTCACATCAGACCCTATCTTACTGTTAAAGCAACCAAATCTCTAGTAAATTCACTTGTTACTTCTAGATTAGACTACTGTAATGCACTGTTATATGGAGTCTCTAAGCAGTCAATGACCAAGTTACAACATGTTCAAAATACAGCAGCTAGAATTGTGACCAAAACACTCAAATATGACCACATAACACCTATCTTACGTGACCTTCACTGGCTTCCGGTAGAGTATCGGGTCGAATATAAAATTTTGACATATACATATAAATCCCTCATCGATCAATCACCAGCCTATATAAAAGACATGATAGACGTGTACATCCCAGTCAGAAATCTGAGGTCCCAGAATAACTCAATGACATTAGTTGTGCCTAAATCTCGGACAGTACGATATGGTGACAGGTGCTTCCAGACAGCCGCAGCGAAATTATGGAACTCGTTACCACCTGACATTAGAGACTGTAATACCTTGCCATGTTTTAAGAGAGCTCTCAAAACACATTATTTCATAAAGTTCTATGGACGTTAGTTCATAAATCATCATACATGTACTACTTATGCTATATTATCAGTGTTAATTTTAATTGAGCCTTGATTTTAAACTAAATGTGTTTGTATTTCTTACCATCCTTTACTGGTTTTAGATTATCATTATTGTTTAATAGATTTACTTAATTAATGTTGTACATTATGTCTTATATATATATATGATTATGTTTTATCGGATTTATGTAAAGCACTCTTGAACATTTATTATTTATGAAAAGAGTGCTATAGAAATGTGGTATATAATAATAATAATAATAATTATTTATAGAAATTAGATTGTGGACAGATCTAGTGTATGGACAATGTAATGTTTCAAACTTGTGCAGTATAATTATTGTCTTGAAAGTCTTTAATTATCATGCTAGTGTAGTCCAAGTGCACATAAATATGTTCATGCTAATTAAAGACTAGAATTAATGCAAGAAAAAAATGTGGTACAATTTTTCAAAATATTTCCATAGACTAAGTTATTTTGATGCATTTTTGTTGAAGTTCATAGATTGAATACATGTGAAACAATTCTGGTGAAATGTTTCCATGAACTACGATAATATGATATTTATTTCTGGCATATATGTTGAAATTCATTGACTGAAACATTTGCATTTTAATGACTAAAATAATATGATTAATGATATTTGTAGCGTAATAACTTTATTAAATTGGCAATACATCGTATATTTTATTTGTATGGTATTAATTGAAAATATAATTTATTTGCAGTAATATTTCATGACCTGTCATCATTATGTAATCTTGTGATAGACCAGAATCCTCTGGTAACAGCGTACCCACCACATCCGGGAAATATTGAGATCAGTCACTTTGGGTAAATATATAATACTATGTATATTTACATTTATAGTGTAATGTGTATAACTGTAAAATCAGAAATTTTCACAAGGGCTTAAATTTAGCTAATTTCTAGAATTGAAGATTTCTAAGTATCATGTAAATTTAACAGAACTCTAAGTTCAAATCCTCGGCAACTAGCCCCCAAATTTTTTTTTTCTGATTTGTCAGTTTTTTTGCTAGAATATTCAAAGACTTATTTTACTCACTACAGTTTATGTTTTTGCGTGCAAGTTGGTTTCTCGAAAATTACTGAAGGGAATTGATTGAAACTTGTTCTCTTCAATTATCTAACATGATAGGCACATGTCAGGCTCATGTCCTAAAACTTTTGAATTACCTTTCGAAAGAATTATGCCCCTTTCCTTACTGTAAAGTGTTGTAAATAATTAAGCATGCCGTTTTAGGGACAGCACATGTTCTGTTATCAGTGTAGCCTGAATTTATACTCCTCATTCTAACTTCATATTGTATTCATATGTTACAGAATATCTCGCATAGATGGTAGGGATAGGGAGAGATTTCAACATTTGATCATCCAAGGAAAGACAATTTCTATGCCTGAAGAATTTTCTGAGTTGTGTAGACCAGGAAAGAGTAGTGTCCCCTGTCTTCAGGAACTAACTCTGAGGTCACTTCATGCAAAAGTGGATTTACAGTCTGGTAAAAATTTTACATTATGTTATAAACATGCGCTTTGATGTTTTTAATGTTATTGTTAAAATAACTGCACATCAAAGAGTTTTCTGAAATTATCATTTAAACAGGTACATATTAGTTAATTCTTTAGAAAAAAATTTGAAGGGAGACAACTAATACATAAATGATTTTTAAGCCAAACATAGTTACTCCCCTTAGTTAATTTTCATTGGCTTCTATGAATAAGATATAATTAATTGGTAAAGACAATTTTTCATATTTTCATGTTACCCAACTGTCTGAAAATATTTTTGTTCATGTACAGACCAGCATAAACTTATATAATATAATGGATTATTTTGTGTTTACTGATGTTACAAAATACAGAAATTTCTGAACACCTGATAAGTGCAATATATATATTAGTATTATGATATATTTCAGGTATCTTAGGAGACCTGTTATCTGCTGATCTTGTGGACACTGTTATGTTTCCTACCGGCCTGTGTCATCATTGTAGAAAAACATTGTTTATATCTGCATTCCCAGTTATATACAAAGAAAATAACACTACATTACTTACATCAGCTTTCTGCTGTTCTGTCAAGTGTATTGTGTATCATGATTTCAAACAAGATACATTACTGTATCCACCAAGCTGATGGGTGGAGTAATATGAAGGAAAACACCTAGCTGATGTCTGATGGGTGGGGTTATGGAACCGTAAAACAGGGTGCTCATTGTTTAACAATAGACTAACATTGTGATATGATGAATATGAATATTGATATAATTTGTGTAAGCGTGTAGAAATTGTGATATGTTTGATATGTAAACTTTGTGTAAGCGTGTAGAAATTGTAATATGTTTGATATGTAAACTTTGTGTAAGCGTGTAGAAATTGTGATATGTTTGATATGTAAACTTTGTGTAAGCGTGTAGAAATTGTAATATGTTTGATATGTAAACTTTGTGTAAGCGTGTAGAAATTGTGATATGTTTGATATGTAAACTTTGTGTAAGCATGTAGAAATTGTGATATGTTTGATATGTAAACTTTGTGTAAGCGTGTAGAAATTGTGATATGTTTGATAATTTATTGTTTTGTTAAATGGGATTATGTTTCTAAGAATTGTTCTGTTATTTGATAAAAACTGTTTTCAGACAAGCATTGACATTTTTATAGTCAGATTTATATGTTATTTTGTTTTAAAGTTATAAAACTGTTGTTAATTACAATAGGACTTATCAATCTTGAAGGTTTGTTGGCATTAGATTGAATACTTGTATTATACTGTTTTCCGTCCTAAACATTTTAGTTTTTACACTCATTTTGATCTTAATAACATTTATAAAACTTTTATAAAGATTTAGAGGGAAAATTTCAACAGCTAACTGTTGAGACCATGATCAGTGCAGGCTCATACACTGATTGCATGGGTGGAACTAGGTGCTGCATAAATATCACGGGTTCAGTATGATACTGTAGGATTAGTGGTCTTTCAATGTATGTATATATATATATAATTCCATAAACAATGTATATTTAGATTTTAGTTGTTTAAAGTGCCTTTTGCTTAATTGGTATTTATACAGACCAAAGTAATTTTATTATATTCAGAAATTTTAATTGTTTCTATAAAAGAGGTGGACAATAAAAAAGAACTCAATAGTATCAGTTTATTATGTATTTAGTAGACAGTTATAATACAATAATACTAAAATGATCTCAAAATTATGCAAAAACATGTCGCAAATGTGAAACAAACAAGATTATAAATAACAAACAAGAACCTGAGTCGCAACAAAAAATGTAACAAGTACAAAAATGACAAAATAAAGAGCTCCCTAGTGGACATTCCTGACAGCTAAGTTTACAAGATTGCAATATAAGATTGTAACATATATCTTTTACGTTGATACAAGTTTTCTTTCTTCATTCAAAATAATTAATTGTACATCTATAAATTCCATATCATTCTGTTGCCATATTTTAACGCTAAAATGCATATTATTTTCACACAAAACTAATGCTTTTATTTTCAGTAACATTATTTTAACGTCATTTGTTTATAATTCAAGACGGAACATGAAAGCACATATTAACAGACTGTTGTAACAATTTTAATTCATCATAATGTTGCTGTAAGTTTAATTTAACCAATTAATATGATTGTTTATTTATATGAGTCATTTTAAAATCTTATTATAATATTTATTAAAAAAAAATATTTACCTAATGCCAGAATGACTAAAGGGAGATAACAATATTTCAATTCTAATTTCAAACTCCTTGCAGCAGTTGCTTCCCCTGATCAGTACAGTACTTTAGATTTCACTTCACCTTTCTTTCACTTCATCATACACTTTATAAATTAAGAACAAAATTTATAGAAATAATGAAAAATAATATTTCTTAGAAATAAAGAATTACCTTTTGTAACATGATATACTTGAGGTCAGAGCATTTTTATCATGATGGAAGTAGTTTAAGTATCATAAAGTAACTGATGCCAGAATGTTTCTCTTATTTAACATTGTATTATAGATACTGACTTATACAAAAGTGTTTCAAATGAAACATAAACAAAAATCATAATAATTTTTTACATCCTTTATTATTAACTCGTAATCCTATAATATTCAATAATTTTGGACATGGGCAAGAAGTGTAAAAGTTTATTCTGTAGGGTGATAAATAAACAACAAAATATGTGAATAAAGACCTTCTTGTAAATACAAGTATAAATTCACTTATCAGAAATATTTATCCCTTAATTCATTCCCTGGTCACAAATTAACAAAATAAAGATAACAATCAATTTGATTTCAGTATTTAAAGACATTATAACAAAAATAATGTTTATAAGCAGAGATTTTATTTATCATTGAAAGAAAAATTGTATTTTTTCATCTGAATAAATGTGACTATTTATTTTTCATGCTTCACATGAACTGTTTCATAACAAAATCAGACAGATTGTGTGTAAACATCTAAAATTTCCTCTTATTTAAAAATGGATGAATTTTCATTATGCTTATTATTCAAAGTGATACATGCATTTATCAATATCTGTCTGTTTCCAGTACTCTATGTCCTTAAATAAAACTTCACAAAAAAACAAATCCAAATAAATCTTAAAGTTAACTCATATAAGGTTGTTCTTAAAAAAAAAACACCAAAGAATGTTTGTTGGTTTTGTCTTAAACATGAAAAATAAAATAGACTCATGTTTCAGGAAATTTCTTAAAATACAAGTGAAAGTTTCGACTACAATATATAAACTTGGTAAAATACAGCTGCAATAACTGACTTAATTTCAATTTGGAATTTTTACTTTGTTAGCTTCAGAAATAATAATAATACCTTACTACTTGGTATAAACAGCCTACACTACAGGTTCTAGTTAAGACTGCCAGAATTTGAAGGCAAGCACTGCCCTATACTGACATCAAAATAAATGAGAGACCTATCAATATTGCTACAACGGTCCAGAATTACCAAGGATAAGCACCCTCAAACATTTTACAATAAAACTTGAGTATAATTTGAAATTCATGAATACTTGCAAAAACAAGTAGAACCTCTTTTTTATTGACATTTTTTGACTGTATAGACATATATTGCACAAATTATTCCTACAGAAAAAACTTCAAAGGATACTGACTAACTTAATATATGGCATTATGATGTAAAGTCCTCATTCATTTCTTGCACTTCTTTAATCACCCAAATCCCCTCAAAACTACCATCATGCTGGGATGTAACTACCATCAATCTGTGATAGAACACCACAAGTCTATGATATTTCAGTACTACCATTGTGAGATGCAACTACCAACATTACTTCCATCATTCTATGAAAGAACTAC